CTGTCCAAAATTGCGTTTTTAGATCGTTAAAAGCAGCTAAGCTGAGAAGCTAAGCTATGAGCTAAGCTAACAGGCCGACCTCGGGAAAAAAAACTCCGTCTTGTCGAAGCTCCAAAATTCACGGTTGAAACTTGTGCCTTTGTGTAAAAAGTTTTTCTCTGCAAATATAAGCTGAGAACTTGTTTACTGAATTTTTATTAAAAGCTTTGTGTGAAAAATGCTATGCTAAAGAGCTCAAACCACACCGAGCATCCGCCATTTTGAGACCGAAGAGAGACAGCCCATGTCATGTCAAGGGGCCTCCCTCCCATTTTTCTTAGAGACAAACTGCTCGCTTCCTCACTATCCATCCTTCAGTTCAAACAGTCTTATACTGTGGTTGAACAAAAGTACTACACACAAAACAAATTAACAAACGTTTCTTCTTAAATTTGACAATAATTACTAATTATTGTCAAATTTTGAACAATATTATAGTTTATCGCAATAATTTCTGAGACAATTAATCGCCCAGCAAAATTTGTTACCGTGACAAACCTAACTATAATATTGGAAATAATCACTGTTAAACATAAATGTGATATTTAACCTTCATTTCTTTAGAGCGACTACAATTTTATTGTGGAATATTGAATTTATAGGTTGCAATTGAATGCATTACAAAATTTTACATGAACAAGATAAGTAAACAAATAAATAAACAAATAGATAAAACATATAAACAAGAGACTTTCCGAAGGCTCAGAGCTTTTTGGGACCAGTTTTGATCCCACCCTTTAAAACAATTATTTAAAAAAGAAATGGAAAACTTATTGGAAAAAAAAAAAAAACTCCATGTTTGAAAACCGGGAGACACAAGTAAGTTTGACTGAAAGCAAGTCCTCATTTTTACCTACTGGTTCTGGGGGTCCGGTGGTCTAGAGCGTTTTCACAAAACTCCAGACTGGAATTTAAAAAAATAATTGTCAAAAAATCAGTTTGGGTGTTATAACTGGTTAACTTTGATATTTTGTTTTCAGCTGAAAAAGCTCTGAAAGACTGACTAGTTTTTTTGTGGGGAAAAATAAAATATTAAAAATATAATACTTGTAAGCAGTTAAATAAGGCGGCCAATTGTTCCGTTGAGGAACATGACTGGTCATAAACTAAAGGACGATATAAGGGTCAAAAGAGTCTGATTGGTCATGTGTAGTTCATGCATTGAAACGCTTCTTGCTCAACTGCAAAGCATTTAACAGAAAAAAAAAACTATCAAAAAACACGAAGGCTACATTGAACACATACACTTAATACAAAATAAGTATTAAATAAAAATAAAACATTTCATATGTGCTAAATTCTTGTGCATTCACAGATGTGCAGCAGGTGCTAAATAATTTAAAATAATTTGTTTTAAATAAAAATTTCATGCCGATCGTGTGGCTCTTCTATCAATCAGCTAATTGTGTGTCATGTCCAATCTTATTTTGAAAAACCGCGATAGAGCGAGTCCGTGATAAACAAACTGCGAAGTAGCGAGGGACTACTGTACCTTCAAACTTGTTGCAAACAGGTTGTAGGGACAAACCCACCAACTTGGTGGGGGGGTGTACTGATTACTGAGTTTACGTGCGTGCTGGTTGGCGGGTACTACTGTTCTCCTTGTATGTGCCAAAAGGCCAACTGAGGAGAGGAAGAAAAGCAGCATTGCTTTCCACCATATGCCAAATCTGAGCCTGCCTGCCAATATGTGGGGGGTGGGGGGGTACTGGCAAGTGCTAGCGCGGCTGAATCCTTGACAGAGGGAGATGAATAATTGAACATGTGCGAGGCAAAGTTCTGTTGGGATGGAGCGGGGTGCGTTTCTACACAGTAAAGGGGAATAGAGACAGTCAGGCTGTCTGCAAGCAAATCTCTCGTTTAGACTGAGCCGTGTTTGTTTTCTTGTTAACATGTCGAAAAGTTGCAGAGATTTTACTGATTCAATTAAAGCGATGCACGGAAAGATGTGGGAGGGAGAAAGAAAAGCACAGCTCACTGGCGTTGATGCTTGTCATTGATCATACAAGTTAATTTACACTGGAAACTAAAGAGATTTAAACCATTCTGCTGAATGTTGTTGAGAAATCAATATAACCTTCTGTAAGTGCAGAAATGTATTCAACTGGGTAAGAAAAACTTTAATAATTTAACAGACACAACCAACCTTCAGTAACAAAAGCAGCTGAAGAAACATACAGCGTCCAACGCTAAAAATAAAAAGCTTTTAAAGATTTAAAGCGAAACTTAGGGCTTATTCTGCATTAATCACATCTACATACAACAGTCTTAAGAAATGCCTTAGTTAAAGTCAATGTAGGAGTTTTAGGAGGTTATCACATGTTAAGCTGGATGCATTTAACCATATGTGTCATATCGAATGTGCCTGTTTCATTTCATATCATCAACCAATGATGTCATCAACTTCCATCACCCCTTTCTCTACTGTAAAGTTACAAACTACTTCCAGATTCTGTCCGTGAGGCTGACACATTGTCCAGTTTTAAGACTGGGCTTAAGACTTTTTTAAATTTTTTATGAATCCTATAATTACGGTTGGCTTGTTATGCTGTTTTAAGCTTAGACTACTGGAGGACAAATTGACCTCATTTCCTTTAAAAAATGTTAAAATTGAATAGTTTTCATATGATGCTATTTCTATCTTAACATGTGATTCTTGACCTGCCATTGTGTATCTGTTCTTCTCAAACCCAGCCGGTCAAAGCAGATGGCCGCTTGTCCTGGGTCTGGTTCTGCTAAAGGTTTCTTCCTCATGAGGGAGTTTTTCCTTTCCACTGTCGCCTTCATGCTTGCTCAAGATGAGAGTTCTGTGATGGAGTTAAACTCAAAGCAGTCTGCTCCAAAGATAAATAATGCTAAATTGTTGTTTTTATATATGAATGTTTCTGGTCAGTGCCCTGAGATGACTTCTGTTGTGATTTGATGCTATATAAACTGAACTGAATTGAATTTAAGACAATACCTCAGTGACACTCCTGTAGTATTTGTAGACACTTTGCATGTTTTGTCATTTCCCTGAATACTTCATGTCACCAATTTGGATAAATGAATTCAAGTTCTCCATACATTTCCATCATTTCCATAATTTTGAACGCGGCCAGGACTGATTTCTTTCATCTTTAACATGTTTTGTTGTGATAGTGGTAAGGCCATCCAATCTAATGATGACACATGGATTAAACTGATGCGGCTTTCAACCAGTAAAAAGAACCAGAGATACAGTTTGACCCAATCAGAGCAGAGCAGGGCGGGGCCTGCTGTCTCATACACGGTGAGTCCGGGTGTGAGCAGCAGAGGGAACCGGCAGGTGAAAGCTCACCTGCAGCACCGGAGGGGGGCTTGAGTAACCTCTAATTGTAGAAACTATTTCAGGCAAAATATTTTTTCTGCTTTAATTCATGTGTATTTCACTCAGCTTTGTAAGACAGGGCATGTTTTATTATGCAGAAACCATTTCTGAGTGTAATATCAGTGTTCCTCCTAAGCGGGGCACCCTGCCCCCTCAACAGATCCGAGTGCCCCACTTACCAAACCCCACCCCCGGGCGACAACTGTCGATATTGATGTAGCATGATACGCAATACAAATGTGCACTCCCCCCTGATATAAACCGGCAGCAACGTAGCACCAAGCTAGCAGGTGGCAACACAGACATGACTCCGTCCGGTCCTCATACCTCTGTTGACAAAAAAAAAAAATATATATATGATGATCCAGGGAAACTGATTTAGTGGAAACACTGAATATGATACCAGAAACTTCACTTTAGAGGTATATAAAAAAAACAATAAAAAAAAACATACTATATCAAAGTTCTAGTTGTAACAAAAGTAAAGTCTTAAGAGAATAAATCAAAACCAAAAGATTCCAACATGTTTGGATCAACATGGGCAGTAGAGTACATCCAGTTGAATATGAACAAAAGTATTCGTGTTGCCAAAAGCTGAATATATTTACCATCATCAGTGAGTTCTTAAAAATCAAAGCATTGCTAAGAAAAGGGAACAACGAATCTTCAAAGAACCACTTCCTAACACCATGGATGTTATTGTGTTCATTCATACTCATCTGCTCACACACACTCATGTTCGTGCTGCTGTTGTTCGGCTTATTGTTTTTGTACTATTAGTGCTTAGTGTATTCTTAGTTCAGCATATTTCTTAGTTCATATTTTAGATCTTATTACTGTTTTTTCTTTATATACTTTTGTTGGATGTAACTGGGACCCGGTGTACACAATATTGTTCCACCACATGTACCACATGTGGTGCGTGTGACAATTAAAGAGCCTCGACTTGACTTAGTAGTGCAGAAGCCGAGCATGTGCTGCTGCAGTCAGCTCTAAAACATTCTGACTTGAAAATGAAAGCGATGATGGGAAGTTGAGCTGTGCAGATTGCTTCTGATCAAATCTTACAAAGCGACTCTAAAGGACGTGGGAAGGTCAGAACAACCAAGAGAAAAACCTAAAGAGTCTCCACGGCTGCTGCTCCATTATTTCTATCACTGAACTGTGGTGTCACTGTTTGAATCGTCTTCCAGGACGGCGTACAGAAGTTTGTGCAGTGTGCATATGAAACAGCCCACAGATTTTCTGGGTTTATTGGAGAAACATAAGAGAGATACAGATGGGCGTTTGAAGAAAATGATGAATTCCACCGCTGCAGGCAATGACATGAAGTAGAAGGGAAGAAAACAAACTGTATTCTCCTTAAATGGTGCTGCCTTGATAATCGACAGAGACAAATGTGAATGGCTACAAAGCTGTGACAGCAAATCTTCTCCTATGGTAACCTTACATTCTGGTTATGTCACTGTCCCGCTATCGCTTGTGACTTCCCATTAATCCTCAGGAATTGATCTGTTGTGTCCTCTTGTTTACCTGCTTCTTTGTTATTGCAAAGCCACTTTCTCTGAAATCTATCTTATTCTAATAATTGTGCTCTCTCTCTCTCTGACAGATACCACCCTGTCCAATGAGCGTGGTAAGTAGAACTGCCACACACACCCTCGATTTGAAACCATCTGTGCGTGGACTCTGCTAGCAACAGCACAGCGGTTGTTTGCGTTGATGTGGAAGGAGCCTCTCTCAGATGCTAGTCTCAGTGGGGGGGTGTCAAGCCACAAACATCATCTGCATCAACAGGAAGCTGCTTTCCTCTCCATCACATTGTATGTCACAGCAAATGTTGAAATGAGGAGAGAAGCATCAAGCAAAGGCAATTATGAAATCAGCATCCACACACCCATGTGGCCAATCAGAATCTGAGTTTAGCATATTCTCTCTGTGTGTGTTTTGCCTCGACCTACTTAGTCAATTTACCCCCTTTTGACTTCAATAGTATTCAATAACAAGCCAAGAGGGAGAATCGTTTTATTTTATTTTATTTTTTACTTTGTCTCTTTCCAACTCTAAAACAGTGCATCTCCATTTGGTCTAAATAAAGGGTAGATGGATTCCCCCCACTGTGGCAGCCTCTTATTTAGTTTAGGATTTGATTCCTGTCTGTTGTGCTTGGAGAAACACTGTAATCTGTTCTTCAAACAGCTGAAAGAGGAAGTCCATCTGGTGTACTGCTTTCGTTTGTATCTCTAATTTGCATGTGTGTGATTGCGATTCATTCAGGTATCTGTTTTTAGCATTGTGAGAGGACCTGAGGCAGCCACGTCACTTTATGTCTTAAAGCTGCACCTAAAGGTGGTATTACTTTGAGCGAGGACTGATAGAAACTACTGTAATTTCCGGGCTCCTGAGCACACCTAAATATAAGCCACACCCACTAAATTACAAAATAAAAATAAAAATTGTGACCAAATTTCATTGGTCCACTGTAACCTGTTTGGTAATGTCATTGGTCAGATTTTTTTTTACCTTTTATTTATTCAAGTACAGTCTCATTAAGTCACGAGGCCCCACCCCACAAGAGAGATGTGTATTGGGCACCTATGTGAGCACCCGGGTGTGACGAGGCTAAATGTTTTGGCCGTATGAAGCTCGTTAGCCCATCCCCCCCCCCCCCCCCCCAAAAAAAATCCATAAATTAGCCACAGCATTGTATAAGCCGCGGGGTTCAAAGCCTGTGGAAAAAGTAGCAGCTTATTGTTTAGAAATTACGGTAGTTAGCAAACAGCATTTGCAAGGAAATCTCCAAAATGTCTTGAAACATACGTTGTTCTCTGTTATTTTGCAAAAGTTGAAGAGGCTCCAGCTCAGTGTTTGAACATGTTCAAATGAATTGTACAATTTCTTTCTTGTAATAGTCACAAAGTTATTTCGGGCGTCTTAAAGCCATCTTGAACAAGTTTGTTTTTGTAAATTCAGCAGAGCTAGGGCTGCATTGTGAAACCTGTGTAGGAGCGCTCCTATGACAGAAAACTAGCTATACCCCCAAAAACATGGTGTATGGTGATAAATGGACAGTTACCAGCTTGCATATATAAAAAAATTGATGATAAATATAAACAAAACAAGTCTAAGTTTGTCCATTAAAAAAAAAACTGCACATCAGTATAAATGTGGTGGCAGCTACAAAAGGGATGGTCAAGGCAGGTACAATGTGGCTTGAGGTGGGTAAAGAAATACGTGCATGTCCTAGAATAGTTTTACAAGCCCTGCACGCAACAATAATCCACGATAAGAAACTTCTGATGCTCAAAATTCACCCACATCACACGCTGATCGCTTTGTTCCAAACTCTCAGTATTCATGAGACTCCAACAGAAAATTCTCATAATTCATTTATTTATGTTTGCATTTTGGAGTTGCCAACTAGTCTTCCACAGTCATGGCTCAACGAGGTACTGCCCTTAGGACACGTCATCCTCCAAGTGTTAGAATGACAGTGACACAGAAAGAGGTCTGGCAGAGCTTCGTCTCTCCGATAAGGGATGACGGTTCTGAGCGAAACTGCCGAGTCATATGATGCGGCGGCATCACTCGGTTGTTCATCCAGATGCTGCATGTCTGGTCTTTGAAACATCAAAGAGGCAGAAAGAAGAGGAGGGTAAAGATGTGGATCAGATCAGGTGTTCGAGTTTGGGCTTTCAATGTGTATGTGTGTTTGGGGTGGGGTGGGGGGGAGACCTCTGTTTGTTGATAGAGGAGACAATGATACACCACAGTGAAGCTGTGTGATCAATTTTTCATTTCCAAGCAAGCAACAATGCTGTGGTTTTCAGTGCATCTACACTGGAAGAAGGAACGCGATAAGAAGTCACACAAGGCAGATTTATATTTTATTTATATATATTATATATATATATTAATTCTGAGTGTTATCCTTGATTTTCACCTCCCTTCTGGTCCTGCTCCCACTGTTCTCTTTTTCTCCTCACCTACGTTTGTTTTCTGCATAGCAGAGAAGCTGAGCAGTTGCATAAAAATAAAGATACTCCACAATTAAGACAAATGGAGCATTAAAAAGCAGCAAGAGATTGAGAGGAGGCAGCATTAGTGACTGTTGGGTCCTGCTCCATTGTCCTTCAGTAAATAATCCAGAAGACTGTTCACGATTCATCTGCATGCTCATCATTCCGTGTCGTCCACGGCTGGTTTTCATACATGTGCAATTTTATAAGAACTTGAACATGCTTTACAGAGTCTACCTGCAGTGATAATCGCAGGCACTTGAGCTCGTTCTTTGTATCTTCCTGTTAACGAGCGCTGTCTGCTCTCTCGGCGGGGACCGGGAGTGTCTGATAGGCCTCCTCAATGTGAAGAGGCTGCAGGCGCATCCTCTCCAAGCTTAATTGGCTGTACCTGAGGCGGGAGGGCAAGGTGTAATTGTGATAAGAGAAAAAAAGCTGTGCTCGGCTGGTTTTAGTACCCTTATCTATAATCTCCAGATTGATTATAGTTTTTCTGCCAGCCGTGCAAATTGTTCGACCCTATCACCAAGACTGGAAACCATCTTAAAACACAGTCGCCTTGTGTTGGTGCAGAATATAGACTGACTTTCAACTCTGCTGTTTAAGGTTTTTATATTTTAGAAATCTGTAGGATTCATGTCAGACTGAACATCAGGTTAGGAGCTGGATTTTCCACAGTTTAGTAAATATGATTTAATCTTTAAAGTTACTCCTGTGCATGTAGAGTAAAACTGTTTTGGAATTTGGTGATGAACAGACAACATTCAATGAAATATGTGAACTTTTGAATATTCAAAGAAAAGTGAAATAAATAATTAATTTCCAAGTACGATTTTGCTAAAAAATTGCCAATAGTTGCTACAAAGTTTTCCTGAACTACAGAGATATATATTTCCAGCTTGTACTGGTAATCTTATTTAGCCTGGTTATAAGGGGGAGTGGTGGCGCAGATGTTGGAGAAGGCGAGCCTGTGATCGGAAGGTCGCCGCTTCAACTCCCCGAACCAACAACATCAAAATGTGGGTGGGAAAGTTGAAACACACACCTGCCCCCACCCTCATTAGCCTCACTCTGGGCCCTTGATCAAGGCCCTTAACCCCCACCTTCTGCTCATCTGGACTCTAGATAGCAGCTCTCTGCTCCACACAGAGGGCTGTGGTAGCTCGGTGGTCTGTGGTTGAGTCAGGAAGGACATCAAGCATAAAAACAATCACCAAGTCTTTGTATGAGTTAGTTCTCCGTGGCGACCCCTGAAGAAGGGATCAGACGGGAAAAAAATAGCCTGTTATTAAACACATAAATAAAATTAATAACCACCAAATACAATTGCTATACAGCAATAAAACTGTAATTTTCTGTTTCAAGATCCAACTTTTGAGGTAACTAGAACACATCATCATTACACTTAATTAGGATTCAAGGTTCTTTATTTGTCATACACACCACATGTGGTGGAACGAAATTGTGTACACATGGTCCCAGTTACATCCAACAAAAGTATTAAAATGTAAAAGAAAAACAGTGATAAAATCTGAGATATGAACTAAGAAAAGTGGTAATTAAAAATACACAGCACTAGTAGCATAAAAACAATACACCGAATAGCAACACAAACATCCATTCAACCTTTAATTAAACAGGTTAGTGCCATTGAGCCATGAGGACTCATTTACAAGAGAGACCTGGATACATGAGTCTGTGTGAGCAGATGAGCACGCATGAACACAGCAACATGAAACAGATCAGCAGCAACATGAAACAGATCAGCAGCAACATGATGTGATTTTTTTCACAGTGATTATTCTAGTTAGAGATTCATGAGTCTAACAGCCTCAGGGTAGAAGCTGTTCCTCAGTCTAGTGGTTCTACACTTAATGCTCCTCAACCTCCTTCCTGAGTGGGGTGGGGCAAAAAGTGTGTGTGCTGGGTGAGTGGTGTCCTTCATGATGCAGGTGGACCTCTTCCTGCATCTGGAGGTGTAGATGTCTGTGATGGTGAGGAGGCTGACTCCAACAGATTTCTGTGCAGCCTTCAGCACTCTCTGCAGAGCTTTCCTTTCTGCAGCTGTGCAGCCTCCATGCCACACGTTGATGCTGGAGCACAGGATGCTCTGCACTGCACACCTGTAGAAAGAGGTGAGGACTGAGCTTCCCAGTCCAGGTTGTCTCAGCCGCCTCAGGAAGTAGAGTCTCTGATGAGCTTTCTTGATCAGGCTGGAAGTGTCATTGCCTCACAACAAGAAGGTCCAGGGTTCAATTCCCTGCTTGGACTTGGGGTCTCTCTGTGTGGAGTTTGCATGTTCTCCTCATGTTCGTGGGGTTTTCTCCGGTTACTTTGGTTTCCTCTCACAGTCCAGGAACATGCATGTTCAGGCCTCCCTTCCAAAAGACATCTGTGGAATCCTCAGTGGGATTTGTCTGGTCAAAGAAAGGTTGAAAAATAAAATATATTTTTTGGATGTGCAACTAAACAAAAAACATGAGCTGGTTTGTAAGATATAATGTGATCATTGTCTTATCCTCAAACACTCAGTCATCTCTATGTCAACGGGCTGGCATTGCAGAAAATCACATTATTTCTAAGCAGCTGAGTTAAAAATGGTCTATCATTTCTCTCC